GCAGAACGAATGGTGAACCGCTCTGAAACCATGTCAGAAACTATGAAACAGGAATGATTGAACTAGGAAGAGTTGGGGTACAAGTACTAACCCTAGAAAGTGTTGTACTCTATATGGAGTGCCCCACAATAGCCTAACAAGAACACCTCCTTGTTGGAATAAGAAGGCAATTACCTCAGCATTCCCGAAGGTGCAGCTTTATCGCACCTGCTACTATCGAAGTAGCACCTGTACCATTACTGCGCTAGCTCGTATAGAGCACGCAGGTCAACAGTGGCGGGTCAACTGTCGTGACTGTTGACTTACCTGGATCGATCGGTTGCAAGGGATTTCAACAGTCGTAACTTTCTCTACGGTTACAAGCAGCAACACGGTAACTGAAGGATCGCAATAGTTACTGGTACTTAGGGTCCTCCCTAGGTTTTGAGCCTGCCTGATGCATCAGATGGCGTGATTTTTTCTAACTGATGAATCAGAAATTTCTTAAACACATTTATGCTGAATCAGAAAAGTTTGAAAATCAATTTCTGATTCATTTTTATACTTCTCATTTCACAGTGTTATGTACATTTGCTGAGAAAAAAACGTGAAAGAGCGGGGAGTTAGGTAAGGGTGGAATTCTACGAAGGAATTGCAAAGAAGTAAGACACGTCTAGGGACTTGAACTCGGATGCCCACCATTCGAGAAGTCGCAACTAACTAAGCTACTTACGGATGCAGAAGAAGTGCTAGAAGAGCTTAAAGCCCAGCCCCCGAATTACAGAATAGCATTCACAAACTGGCCCCAGTTTGCGTCTCGCCACTACTCAGTTTAGGGCAAAATTGTTTCGGAAGTTTTCCGAACCTCCAATTGCTTTCCTTTCCGAACCTATTTTTCCCGCGTTGACTCCGTTGAGCAATTCGGGCGTTGCCATTTAATTCCAGTTGGGCAAACTCCGAGCGCCATTCACACACGAAACACCCTTCTACATGTCAGCTCTTATGTCAGCTCTTCTTGCCCCACCTGCTCGCCCGCCCACAGTGCAAGAGAAGAGAGGGAGAGAGTGCATGCAGTGACAAGGTGCCTTTTGTGTCAGCTTCCTGCCCCACCTGATCGCCCCAACCACAATGCAAGAGAAGGGAGGGAGAGAGGGCAAGCAGCAACAAGGTGCCTTTTGAGTCGACCCAAAGTCACACGTATGTCAACTTCTTGCCCCACATGCTCGCCCATGCACAGTAAACGATAGAAAGAGTCACAACATTCGATTGCAGGTGCTATATGCAGTGCTGCATGCCTCCATAGCAAACAGTCCCTGCAGACTGCACTGAGACTGGAAACGAAACGACAAATGGGTGCAAACAACGCTTTCTTTTGCTTTCATGGCATGGTTTGATAAACCAGTGGGTGACAGCCAATCAGTCAGACCCACGAGCAGGGATGTCGACAGCTGCCAAAATCTTATGTTGTATCTAAGCGCATATCATCTTCTAAGGATTTGTGGCGCAATGGTAGCGCGTCTGACTCCAGATCAGAAGGTTGCGTGTTCGATTCACGTCAGGTTCAAGGCCTGCATTTTCCTCCCAGCGGTTTTTTTCTCTCCAGGCCGTGAGCTGTGTCCACCAGGCTTGCGTCTTGTGTTCATGCACTGTGATGTGCGGTTCGCGTGAGTCGCATGGCTTTATGGCTACAACCAGGTCAGCCTCGGAGACTCTTCTAGTCCAGGAGTTTGGACCAAAGCAAGCCACGGAAGTGCTGAACATTAACATATTAGCACACTAGACATCACAACAGTATGCTCACCCTATCGTTAATTCCTCATCACGAATCAAATTGCACGCACCTCTGCTTGGCATACGAGCAGCACCCAGATCACACATGGTCCGTCCAATCCACCGCCTGTAGCCATCACATGCACGCACATGCACATGCACGCACATGCACATGCACGCACATGCACATGCGCGTGCACACACATGCGCATGCGGATGCGCATGCATGCACATGCACATGCATGCACATGCACACACATTACGCACATGCACGCACATGCACACACATGCACATGCGGATGCACATGCACGCACATGCACTTGCAAATCAAAGCGACAATTGGTGCAAGCACACAAGTATGCAACTCATTTAGCGTTACATGTATGTGTCACACCTGCAAAGGCACGAATCAAGAGGAACCTTCCAAGATGCGTGCAAGCTACGATATCCCTGACCGAATTGCCACCACACAAGACTAACAACTTCAAATAGTCACACCTGCCAGCAACACTACAGTCACACCCGCCTGCCTGGCAGCACTATAGTCACATCACACACACCTGCCTAGCATCATAGCCTAGAGCCCGGCAGCAGAGAGTGAAGGCGTTGGCCCATCCGCCACAGCGGCCCTGTGGCGGGAGGGTGGGAGGGAGGGAGGAAGGGAGGGAGGGAGGGAGGGAGGGAGGGAGGGAGGGAGGGAGGGAGGGAGGGAGGGAGGGAGGGAGGGAGGGAGGGAGGGAGGAAGGAGGAGAAAGAGGGGCAACCGTGGGTGAAACAGCTCTGCCTTGCCCACAATAGAGAGTGAAAGCATTGGCCCACTCGCCACAGCGGCCCTCCCTGGTGTCCATGATCTCTGTGGCGGGAGAGGGGGGGAAGGCGGGAAGGAATGAGAGGAGGAAAAAAGAAGGAGAAAGGGGCGACTTTGAGTCGGCTAATCCCTGCTTAACACGACATGCAGTGTAGAGAGGATAATTCAGATGGACATGTCAATTGGAGGAGGTGACAGATCAGACCGAGGTGGCATGTGTGGAAGGTAGTTGTGGGTGGATGTGGAAGACAATTGACAACAGATTTTATTGGTTGGACTGGATAAGTTTAAGCAGTCAAGCACCCGTCGTGAGAGCACTGCCAAAGAAGAGCAGTGCCATTGATTGATTTTAATGAGAGGGTGTCTCAAATGTGCTAGTCCACGTGGGTCCGATACGGCAAAATTACGCGACGCGACCGATCGCGCGCCTGCCTCAATTCCATCGACAAACCTCGTACCGCAGGTAGGGCGATCGAACCTCCTGCAATTAAATTGACCTACATGCGCATGCGCGTTATCCTCAAGCTGCTTTCATGGCGACGTCGACGTTACAGGTGCCATTTGGTTTTACAGTCAGAATTGCGAAACAACAACTAGGGGTTTCGATTCTTTCATGCACGACAAATGTGCGACGTGTAGCGTCACTACAGTGCAGTCACGCCGACGAGGTTTGTCTTATGCTAATTTTGTTTGGTCTTGTTTTTGTCATGTTCAGTTTTGTCAGCATGTCGAAACCCTTAGGACGCGTCACCTAAATGACGATCCTGCGATCGATCGTGAAAAATCGACCCTCCACCACACCAAGCTCCCTTTTACTGCATTCAACACTTCGAGAACCCTTTTTAACCACGCAAAAAAAACGATCCTAGGCTGGGTCGATCGCAGGATCGGCGTTCAGGGGACGCGTCCCTAGGATGGATCAATGTCACTTCATTGACTTTCGTAAGTGCTTATGGATTTCAACTCCTCTTAGTAGGTCATCCCCTCATACTAGAATTTCTAGGTCACTCCAGGATATGCTTGGGGCCGGCGCGAATGTAGCTCATTAGCGCGAGACATGTCGAGTAATCCAGAGCTTATCACTCTACGTAAGCTGAACCAGACACCAGAGATTGAATGGGGAATTAGAGAGCCCGAATGACAATGCGCTGTTGGAAGTGGGTGGTGTTTACTCGTCCCGTGACAAATGCTTCGAGGCAGTCCAGGTTTACACTCTTCTACACAAGTTTAGCTATAAGGCGTTGATGATGAAGGAGCATATGGTGGTTGTCGGATGCAAATCCATGGCGGATGGGCACTTGCCCATGTGTCTTTGGAGGTGTTTGTATGCGCAATGTAAACATGGAGATTTCTGGCGCATCACGGTGCTTCCCGTGGAGGATCACATTTGCAAGATGGAACATCGGCATGAATACGCAGTGGGAATAGCCAACAAGTTACCTTTCCTTATTTGAGCATACGGCAACATGGTCCGCGCCATCCATTCATGGCCCTCATTCATCTGATGCGGCTGATGCATGGGTAATCAGAAATCACTATTGACAGGCATGACGTTTGCGCGAGTACATTATGAATGAGATGTACGGGGTTTGGAAGGAGTAATTCGCCGGATTCTATGGTTGGTGGATCGTTTTCGTGTCATCGACCCCGAAGTGAAAGTGCAGCTGGATAGACTAGGGGGGTTGTTCCACGGGTTCTTCGTGCGACCCTCCGCGACCCACCATGCCCTCAACTTCTGTCGTCCGTTGGTTGCGTTCGACATGCCACACTTAATAAGCGCGCAGAAGGCGGTGCTCCTCGTCGTTGTAACCCTCGATGGCAACTAGAAAGTGCTATTGCTGGCATGGGGGTTGGTGGAGTCCAAGAACAAAGACTCATGGACCTGGTTTCTGAAGATCTTCCTCGAAGGGATTTTCCTAATGGGTCCAGCGTAAACATGCTGCGATGATCAGCGATCGAGACAAAGGGCTGGTGCCGGCTGCCCGCGAGGTGATGCCTAGTCACACTCCGCACAATTTCTTTGCCTGGCACCTTAAACAAGACCTCAAGTGCCACGAAAACAGCCGCTATGAAGTTTTTAAGGAGGCTGTTGAGACGCGGGAGCAAAGTCAAGTGGCTGGCACTAGTTGAAGCATGCCGACGCGACTTTCCAGACATGGATGCATACATCTTTAGGAGGGAGGATCCACCGATCCCGAATTTCCATCAACTTCAAAAGCACAACTACCGCCAGTAGCGCGCGGAACATATGTTGTTGCATGAGATCAAGTTTTTTAGGCTGGGTGCGATGGGCGCCGGACGGCAAGAAATGCGCAACAGGGGCCGGCGGCGGCTGCCAACGAAGTGCCTGTTGCGAATGGCATGGCATCCCGGGTTCGGGATATGCTAGGTACAACTGGCAAGGTGGTGGACTCGCGGGGAGAGGTGGGTTGAACGCACCTAATGTCGAGGTGTTCAGGAGTCGGTTCAGAGGTGCGGCCGGGGTGGCTGACTTTCCGGGAACACAGGAGAGTGGTGAAGCCAGCGATGGTGGGGTTCGTGGAAACGGAGGCAGGAAAACGACACGCAGCGTTCCCGGAAGCGGCACCTTCCAGTACGGTGGCGTCTCACTTGGTGTCAGGAGTGGAAGAGGGTTCGGCATATTTGGACCCAGAGGCAATGCCCATGGTGGGGTTGGGAGGGGTGTGGGTGGTACCAGAAGTGCAAGAGGAACCAGTAGGGTGGGGATGGAGAGCGGCAGGCAAGAGGATGCTAGTGGCAGGGCCCCTACAGGCGGGGTCGGAGTCTCCACCAGTGGCTTGGGTACCTCGGACGGTGGATTGGGGACTCATGAGAACATGCCTGGGAGAGGCGCTGGACTCGGCAGAGGCGAGGGAGCTGGGCTTGGGGGCGTGGGACAGGGAGCGGGGATGGGGTCTGGTCTGGGTGATGTGGGACTTGGAGCGGGGATGGGATCTGGTCTGGGTGGCGTGGGACTTGGAGTAGGTGCTGGTGCTGGGCTTGGGGGCGTGCACGTTGGGTCAGGGAGGGGAGCCGGCCTTGGTGGCGCGGGACTGGGAGGCGGGAGGGGAGCCGGCCTTGGTGGCGCGGGACTGGGAGGCGGGAGGGGAGCCGGCCTTGGTGGCGCGGGACTGGGAGGCGGGAGGGGAGCCGGCGTTGGTGGCGTGGGAATTGGAGAAGGGAGCGGATCTGGTCATGATGGCGTGGGACTTGGAACAGGCGGGTGGTCTGGGCTTGGGGGCGTGCACCTTAGAACCGGAAGGGTTTATGGGCTTGGGGGCGAGGGTGCTGGAGCTGGTCTTGGGGGCGTGGGACTTGGAGCCGGGACATGAGCTGGCCTTGGGGGCGTGCACCTTGGAACCGGGAGGGAACTAGCCTTGGGGGCGTGCACCTTGAAACTGGGGGGGGGAGAGCTAGCCTTGGGGGCGTGCACTTGGGAACCGGGAGGGGAACTGGCTTTGGGGGCGTGCACCTTGGAACCGGGAGGGGAGCTGGCCTTGGGGGCGTGCACTCGGGAACCGGGAGGGGAACTTGGGCTTGAGGGAGTGGGACTGGGAATGGGGATGGCGACGCGTTATGCGGGCATTGGCATGACTTCACCTGCCCTAACAACAGGAGGAGTAGTGCGGATGGGTTTTGGAAGAAGGGCATGTTATGGGGGCGGAGATGAAAGCGAAGCAGGAGAGGGTGAGGGGGTAGTGCATGGAGATGAAAGAACAATGTTTCGTGATGTGGGGATTGTTTGGGGTTCCGGGGACGTACCTGGTGGCAATGATGGGGGAGATGGGCTTGAAAGCGCTCTGGGGATGGGAGACGTATTTCCTGATGGATGATGGAGAATACATTGGGCTACGTGGTGCGACAGAGGGGGAAGGGTTGGGTACGAATCCAGCGGGGGAGAGCCAACAAGGGTACCTTTCGACCTGGACGCTTTGATGCAGCGAGCACACGAAGGGTACATGCCCGCGTCCATCAAGAATGGGGTCAACAACGATGCAGACGGTGCACGGCGGTCACAAGACTGGCGGGCGACCGCTCTGGATGAGGAGCACCTACTTTCGGGATTGGCACAGATCCTTGCGCTGCCGTGGCTGGATACTGGGGCTCATGGAGATGCGCTTCATGCCGAGCAGGATAAACCTGGGCTCGAAGGTGAGGATGGTGGGGATGGGGAGGGCGCCACTGGTGGGGATGTCGGCGAGGGCGAGGAAGAAGGAGGGATTTATATGCACACGTGTTTCCATCGCAATAGGAAGGGCTCCAAGTATCGGATTGGTGGAATCCAGCTTCTCCATTGGACACGGCGTTTTGCCATCACTCGACACTTCGGGATATCCACCAGCAACGCCGCGGAGACCCTCAACGGTGCAGTGGGATACATAAGGATGCTGCCTCCAACCTACCTGCTGGCGTCCTTATGGGACTGGTTCAGGGAGAAGTGGGTCGAGCGTTTTGATCATGCAATGCAACGGGATGAGTATTTCTCACAAGCAGCAGTAACACGGGTGCATATCAAGATCAACAAAAGTCAGGGCTACTGGTTTCTCGGGGGCACACGGAATTTTGGAACGATCCAGACGCATGGAGGGGAGCACGAGTCCGAGTGGCGGAGCTACAATGTCGACCTCGTCGCCCGGGCCTGTGAGTGTGGGAACTGGCAGGAACCAGTTCACATGTGCACACGCCGTTGCGATGTGTCTTATCAAAAAGAGGTGCCCCAAGATCTTGGTCTCAAAATTCTACACCACGCACACGCTACGCATTACATATGCACCAACTGTGTGGGGGGCGTGCATAGACATATATACATATGGGGCGTGCATAGACATATATATATATATATATGTATATATATATATTTGTAATACAGCGATACATTTGCAAACAAAATGTATTACAAAACTGAAAAAAAAAATGTCCAAGGCCAATTCGTATTGTTGGATCTCACCCGCCTCCTTCCATCTCTCTCGTCTTGCCCTCATATCCCTAGTCTCTCCTTGATGCTTTCCTCTCGGATAGTCTCATTGCTCTCACTTCTTGTTCACTTCTCACTTCTTCCTTGCTCTTGTCTCTCCTTTACCTCCTTCACTGGTTGCCCCTCAGGTCTCCTTCCTCTGCTTCTTGTGGTTCTCTTGGCCTACTGCTTGCCTTCGTGATGAGCACTCTCCTGATGAGCTCTATGCTCCCTCACATAGCCACACCCTACTATGCTTAGTCTATCCCTTGCTTGCCATATCTCCTTATGTTGACAACTTGCTCTGTTTACCGCAAGAATCTCGTATTGAAAGGAAACATACAAGCAATGAGGAACACATAGCAAGAATCCGCCTATTCTACCAGCATGCCCCCCTTCTTGCGCCTGCCCCATCATTCCTAGCCTAGTCGCCAATAGCTAAGACTGTCTTTGAGCAGGCTTACATCCGTGCTGCTTCTTGCCAACCCTCATGCCTCTGATCTCATTGCCTCCAGCTGACACAGTGCTGATCCAACTGGCTCCTTGGTATGTACCTGCGAACAGTAGGGGAAACAAACATGCAAGCACACAAACACCCATCCACTGCCGCTTCCTCGCCCTCTTTCCCGCTGCCGCTGCTGGGTGTTGTAAGTTTACATTCGGTCCTCCCGTGCTTACGTAAGTGCCGCCTCACTGGAACTTCCCCATGCAGATCTGCCACCCCTTGCGTCAGGAGGCGCCAGTTCCTCCCCGCTCACCCTCATCCCTTGAAACGCCGTTTGACTCTTCGCCTCCCATCCTCGCTAACCGCTTCACCCGTTATGTACAATATGTACAATCAGTACACCCCATATGCTCCCCCCCTTACCCCTTCACATTCATGCAAATGTGACAGCTGTCGGATCTCACCCGCCTCCTTCCATACCTCTCGTCTTGCCTTCATATTCCTGCTCTCTCCTTGATGCTTTCCTCTCAGATATTCACATTGCTCTCACTTCTTGCTCACTTCTCACTTCTTCCTTGCTCTTCTCTCTCCTTTACCTCCTTCACTGGTTGCCCCTCAGGTCTCCTTCCTCTGCTTCCTCACTTGTGACCGTTGGTTGTTCTTGCTATCCCCCACTTTGCCTATGGGGGTGTGTCAAAATGCATCATATGCTTGTAGCCCATATAGGGTACGACCCATTAGAGTTGCATACTTGTATCTCACTGCTGCTAATCACACATCATTCCGCTGTTCTCATTCTGATAGGATATTGATAGATGAATGCCACACATACGAACACATACGCACGTAACCAGAACGATACACACGCACGCACAGAAGCTCGGAACAAACCAATGTAAAAGAAACTTACGATAAATAAACAAAGCAGAAGATGCAAAAGAGAACTGCCAAAACAATGCAACACTATTAATCCTACAAATCGCCACAACTGTGACCTTTCGTTGTTTTAAAAAAGGACCTTGAATTTCCGAATGGTACAGCAAAGCCTCCGAGGAGTAGGAAATAGACAAACAAAAGGGGGGGGACGGGGAATAGAATTTGGAGGGGGAAATCACACAACTTACAACCGACAAATATCATACATTAACTAAACATACGACATGGGCAACGTTTAAATAGAGAACAGTTGAAAGCAGGAGACAATAATACGGATGTGGGCAAGGAAGGTAGAGAGAATGCAAGAAAGAACAACGAAATGAATGAAGTGGGCGAATCAGAACACGAAGGAATAAGTCAAACGTTGCAAGAATAGATAACCAAAGGAAAAAAAACCAGAGGTTAGATATGGAAGATGGGGATATAAAGGACAACATACAAGCAGAAAATGAATAAAAAACTGAGATAAGTTGGAGCGAAACAGTGGATGAAAGTATGAGGGGGAAAGAAAAATAAAACATTACGCCTACCGAATGAAAATAACATCAAAATTGTAAACACAGAATGTAGGAGGTAGTAGGAAAAAACCACACTCTATCATGCATTCCAATGGTCTCTCATTAAGAAGTTACGTAATCTCATGAGCATGTTCAAAACGGAGTGATCAAAACAGCCTCATTTACTAAAGGCCAGAGAAGGAGAATACAAAATCAGAGAAATAAAAGAAGGTAAGAAATGAAGAAAGGACAAAGAAAACAAGAAACAAGCACAACTAAATAGGAAATAAGTGTTGAGATAGGTAGGAAGGAATGACTAGATTAGGTCAAAGGGGTACAAGGCAAGTGTCGAGAGCAATGTTGTACCCCTAAGGGGCAACTCACTACAGGCTAAACAAATATATGAAATATAACTTTGACACACCCACATAGCCTGGATGAGCTGCATCAAAACGACCACGACAAGCATGTGGTCACAAGACCAGTCAAGAGAAGCAAACAAAGCAAAGCTCAGGGTGGATCTCAAGATCACCACGCACGATCACAAGTAAGCGGCCACAAGGCAAGTTCACATGCAGTGTTATAATAGCAATGGCAGTACACAGATCACAACCTAGCAAGTGTAAACATGCAGGTATACAGATATATAGCAGTGTACAACAAGGGCAAAACTAGATCAAGAAAAAAGCAAGTGAGGCACAGTGGGCACAAGCCCAAGAGCAGTGCAGAAGCGCTGATGGTCACCAGACCTGAAGGCCTTCGTGAAGACATCAGCAGTGTTGGCCTGTGAGGCCACGTACGCAAGGCGAAGCTGACCACGCTGCTGTAGCTCCCGCGCTCCAGCCTCTGCTCGCGACACAAGGCAATCATGGCCTTGATGTCGACGTACAGAACTGGAGGAGAACGAGGCCGCTCACCCAAGTCAGTCAGCAGGTAGGCCAGCCAGCGTAACTCCTGTGCAACCATAGATCTCTGCTTCACAGCTGGAACTAAGTACAGAAGACGGGCGGGTGGACCTCCAGGAGACAGAATCAGCACCAAGACTTAAGATGTAACCCTGTGACGAGCACTGGGACTCCTCGTCGTCGGCCCAAGAAGCGTCTGAGTGCCCAGTGAGCACAACTCTACCCCGTCCTCCAAGCACAAGCCCCATGCCTGACGTGCTACACAAGTAACGCAATACCCTCTGCGCAGCCCAGTAGTGCTCAGGGCGGTGTCTCTCGGGCGCAACGAAGCGCGCCAGGATGCTGAGAGGGTATGCGAGGTCTGGTCGAGTGCAGGTCATCAGGTACATGAGGCAGCCCACAAGCTCTGGATACGGACCACTCGGCTCTACGGACTCGTCCGAAGGTGGAGATGAGAGCGAGTGGTTCGCGGCCAGAGGAGTGGAGTGCGGCGAGGAAAACTGAAAACGGAAGCGCCGAAGGACCTGCTGCACCATGTGTGACTGAGTCAGAGTGATGGTGCGCGCTGCTCTGTCCCGGGTGATATGCAAGCCAAGATAGCTGCGCAGCTCACCCATGTCAGTGCAGGTGTGTCTCTT